TTTGATATTCTTAAAATCACAGTATTTTACAAACTGCATTAACCTACATTTTTATTTCTTTCATTTACAAATAACAGGTAAGTAGTATAGAAATTGAGAGCAAAATTTGTAGATAAGTTCTTCTCTTAAAACGAAGATGAATTTCTCCTACTCTAATCTGGCCTGAAGGGATTGGGATATTATAGACATTGGGTGGTAGCAGATTTACTATGGCCAAGAGAGTGTTTTATAAAGGGAAGCTGTGCCACTCTTGAATTTATTCATTTAAAAACAAAACAGAAACCAGAACTCTGGCCCATCTGGAGCACTGGAGTCCCAAAAGGATAGAGCTCCTGTTTCCTAGACCACAGCTCTTCTGCACAAACAAGTTTTCTGGAAGCAGGGGTGTGGGGGCAACTTCATGAGGTAAAACTGTACATTCATTGAAATGGGTTTTTTTTTTTTTTTTTTTGAGACAGAGTCTCACTTTGTTGTCCAGGCTAGAGTGAGTGCCGTGGCGTCAGCCTAGCTCACAGCAACCTCAAACTCCTGGGCTTGAGTGATCCTTCTGCCTCAGCCTCCCGAGTAGCTGGGACTACAGGCATGCGCCACCATGCCCAGCTAATTTTTTATATATATATATCAGTTGGCCAATTAATTTCTTTCTATTTATAGTAGAGACGGGGTCTCGCTCTTGCTCAGGCTGGTTTTGAACTCCTGACCTTGAGCAATCCGCCCGCCTCGGCCTCCCAAGAGCTAGGATTACAGGCGTGAGCCACAGCGCCCGGCCTTGAAATGGGTTTTAGTTACTACAAAATTAGTTCGCTATGTTACAGAGTATACAGAAAAAATATTTAAATAGTAGGCCTGAGACTGCCCTTGGAAAGGCCTGCTTGCAACGGTGGCCTTGGCTTGTGCCTGAGAACTTGGCTACTATATGGTTCCCAAATTGATTTATATCCCTACACTGATTTTTAACTTCCTCTAAATGATAAGGGTGGTTCACTGTGCCTAGACTGTGCAACAATATGGTTTATGCTAAGAACCTGTTTTCCTTCTGGGCATGTAGAATTTGGGTTTATGCTAGGCAAAGGGTGCCTACATGACCAGCCCCCAGTAAATACCCTGGTTTTTAGATGCTAAGTCTCTAATGACCTTCCTTGGTAGATAAAGCTTCACACTTGTCCCAACTCCGAGCCGGGGGAGTTAAGCACCTTCCATGTGACTCCACTGGGAGAGGACTCATGGACGCCTGTGCTTGGTTTCTTCTTCACCCTATGCGCCTTTTCCCTTTGCTGATTTTGCTTTGTATTTTTTTACCATAAGAAATCTTAGGGCTGCGAGTCCTAGAGAATCATCGAAACTGGGAGAGCTCTCGGGTAACCCCGACGCACAGGGCTTTTCTCTCTCTCTCAAGAGGCAAATAATTAGATCCTGACTTGGTAATCGACTTTCGTCTCTCCTCCGGACAGGATGGGTGAACTTTTCCTCTTTTGGTTTACCTTAAAAATTAACAATCCTAACTACCTGTCACTTTAACAGAAATCCCTAATTAGGGATAATTTCCCCCAACAGATTTGACTTTAAAATAGATCAAACCAAAGTCTCAGTTTGTCAGCTTAGTCGATCTTCAAGGTTGCACTCAGCAGCCCATTTCTTGTCACGACAGGGCGGACATCTCAGGGCCAGTGTCCCTCACTCAGCCTCTGATGTAACATCAGAGAAAGAGAGTGCCAAGGCTGGTGCTCTGTGGGCATGGGACAGGAGACTCTCCCAGCCCAGTGATCCTGCCACCAATGTCTCTGCGAACAGATCGTAGCTGTGTGTAGTTTCTACAGTGTTTCCACTTGACGTGGTGCTGACCACTTACTCCTTGGTCATTGAAGGCCCCTAAATGGTAAAGTAAGCTACTAGCTACCTCTCAAGCAGCAAGAAAATTCTGGGATTGTCTGCCCTACTTGTGAAACAGATGGGTATGAAAAGTGGCCAGCAGAGAAGGAGGAAATGAATATATAATGCATTTCCTCCAGTCAGAAAAAGCTAGGCATATCCAATCCTGTGCTGGTCATACTCCGCAGATGCCACGTGACTCTTCAACCCCCAGCTGCTTGAAAAATTAATGCTTACATTCTTCTAAGATTGATAAAACTGTCTAGAATGTGACTCGTGGGAGTATGGTATCTAATTTATATTTGTCCATGTAAGACAAACTGTGCAGTATGGTGTTAAAAGTCTCTGCCTCCAAGAAACCTAGAGTTTAGAAAATGGTTCCCTCTCCAGAGGTTTATTCTTTTTTGTTTTTTTGTTTTTTTACAAAGACAAGAAAGGATCAGCTTCTTTAATTTCAAGCATCTGGGACCCCTGTGTATTCCAAGTTTTATTTAACTTTGCAATACAAAAAGCAAATGTTATACTAGCTCTGGTAAAAGCCAGGTATATGGTATGTAGGTAGTCGGATAGACAATAGATACTTAGTATCGTTATACTATTCTGATGTCTGGTTTCAATTTGTCTTTCAAACTTTCTATTCCACGTACCTGACATAATTATTTTGGGGGATCTGGTTGTCAAGACTGATAATCTCACTTGGAGATAATCTCTTCTTAAACATATTTGAGTAAAATAAAACCCAATGAGGTGTTCTGGAGTTGACTAAACATGTGTATTTGGTGTGAATATGCCCAACCTAGGAAAGGACAGATTTCTGGTGACGTTCGACAGGCCTCCTTTTCTCAGCTTTGAGCCCAAGCATCAGTTGCCTCAAAATTCAGTGTCCAAAGCCTGTCCTTACTCCTCTGTGGTACACCTGCTCTGTTCTTTGAAGCCACCTCATATCCTTGTGGAAGACAGCCATAATATGAATAAACAAAATTGTTTATTTTGCAATTGGCCCCTCTGTATCCATGGGTTCCACATCCCAAATAGGGATGGAAAATATTTGGGAGAAAAAATTTCATCTGTCCTGAACATGTATAGACTTTTTATTGTCATTGTTCCTTAACACAGTATAACAATGATTTACATAGCACTTACATTGTATTAGATATCATAATCATCTATGGATGATTTAATGTATATGGAAGGATGTGCATAAGTTATATGCAAATATTACATCATTTTCTGTAAGGGACTTGAGCATCTTCGAATGTTGGTACCAATGGGCATCCTGGAACCAACCGCACAGGCATAGTGACTGAGGACGAATATACGTTTTATAGGTCATTACCCCTAAATCTGAAGTTTAATGTAAATATTTGCAGCTAGAGTCATTTCTACAGTTGCTACCATGCCCATTTTTCACCCGCAGTCCAACTTCTCAAAAATATGTGGTTAATTTGATTCAAACCAAAGGAGGAACAGCAAGTGGTGATATAATTTACCTTGATTTTGGTGCTATGGGGTTAAAACAAGGCACGAGAAGAGAAAAAGTCAGCTTATTTATGTTTGTCCACTTCAAACCAGTTCTAAATATATATATTTCACATTAAAATTAGACTTTTAGTGTAAGTTTCTACTTGCACTTAGCAAAAAAAAAAAAAAAAGTTTAAAATTCTCTAGAAAAGCTGTTTTTCTCCTTCTTGATATAATTATCATAATTCAATCCATAGAGAAGGAACTGGGTGGGAATATATTAACATTTCAATTCAGCTCAAAATAACTTAATACGATTATTTCCTACTTTCCTTTATACACCGTGGTTGCTAACTCTATGCAATATATGTGTAAATAAATGAGCTTTATCTTATGTTGTAAATCATATTCTGCTGTAATTAGAACGATCCCTAATTAATCTTCTGAGGAGATACATGGTGACCAAATTCCTGCTTTGCTGAGTGTTGCAAAGGGGACTCCGGGGCTTTTGCAGGCGTCATTAACTCTGCTGTATAATGGTACTTTGAGAAAGAGCACAGACCTCTTATGTGACATGAAACGCCATAGAGTGCTGTTCAGCTTATATGCCAACAATTGGTTTCATTAGATACTTTTAACAGATTAATGGTTTACATGCCACCAAAGAAAGCATACAAGTGAAAACAATTTCGAAAACACATTTGTGTAGCTTATAGTAGGTAAATTCGTGTTCCTGCTATATTTGAATCACAGCTGAAGATATACATGTATTGAGTAGTCTTTCCAAGTGTGTTTTGAGATTTATAAATCATTTTAAATCTAAGGTTAACAAAATCATGTGAACTCAATGACCAATAGGCAAAAAATTTGTTGAAACTAGCTGATTTTTTTTTTTTTTGCTTTCTTTTTCATAGTAACTCAATCCGTAGAAAGAGAGATTTTTCTGCCCTTCTAAATAGGTTCATGGATCCATTAAGAAATCTCCTTCCCTAAGATGTGGTCTCATGACAGTCCCGGTACCCCCTGTTTCATGCAGTGTTGTGAAGACAGCTATTTACTGATTCCCAATTCCAGAAGTGTAACTACCCTCCTACCCACAACCTTTCCTTTGCATTCTAAAAAAAGATTTCAAAGAAAAAAAAAGAAACATCACCACCAAAAGAGATCCAATTTAATATATAAAAATCTCTGATAAATAGTGTAGCTTTTTTCTCCTAAGTTGACTCTTCAGATCCAACAGACGTGAGGTTTGTTCCATCTGATTTATTTCTATAATTTCCCCCTTCAGAAAAATGGCCATTCTTCCCCAAAAGGAACTGCTGACTAGTGTGTCACACAATAGTCATCAATGGTCATAAATGACCAAACAGGACCAAAACACTGATCATGATCAGTGTTTTATTAACAGGAAGGAAAATCAGGGAAAGAGAAAGAGAGCAAGAACCTAACATTATCTGACTTTTGTGAAATTCAAAGTATAAAGTTTTTCTGAGCAAAGCGCCATGTACTTCAGGCAATGGCAACAACCTGGAAAGTCAATAAAAGATAAACTAAAAAACAAGAATGGAGATCTTGAGAAACTCAAAAGGCATCAACCATATTGAATAAAAAAATTATAAAGAGACTTCAGTACACTGATAACTCAAAATCCAAATTATAAAAGGAATAAGTAAATTGCATAAAACTTTTATTTATTAACAGTGTATTCTTCTACACTTTAAAATAGAACAAAATATCTTTTGAAAGATAAACTATTCATAAGAAAATACATGTCAAACAATTTTTATTATTGGAGTAGAATTACTTTGCTATATACTTTCTATATTATATACATCCACTTCATGGTATGTCTATGTACATACATGTGTAAAATAGTTTTAAGACATACACATGTAGATACATATGACATTAACACAAAATTATGGAAAATTTACAGTAGTCAACTTTACAATCATTTTAAGAGCTGCACACAAATTAGTGTTCACAGAACTAAAACCGTCAACATGGTTTCCCTTTCCCCTACTTCTCAAACGTCATCTGAATTACTTGTCAATGATTATCTGAAAAAATACTATCATCTTCCTGTACAATTAACCAATTTTTTTACAATAACTCATAATAAAATATTTTACTTTTTCAGCTTTAGAAAAGATAAACAATTTCATTCCACTTATTGTAATTTTTATTCCTAAAACATACAATTCATTTTTTTCATCAGTTTAGTGCAATTTTTGGTACTGCAATTATTGAAGGTTAACAAACCTGAGTCAAACATTCATTCAAATGCCTTTTTAAAAACATACAACATGAACAAAAATGTTTTGCGGAAGCATATCGTCTCAAGGGACCCCCTCCTAATAAATGCATTCTAAGTAACTTAATGGTTGGGAGTAAACACTTCATATGAATCCACTTAACTAGCACTTGCAAGATCGGAGTAATCTACTCTTAAGCAGCCTGGAAGGGAATCCGGATCTAAGGCTCCCCGACTCCTCATAGAAAGGAAGCCTGCAGGCTTCTGAGGACCTAAAACAAGATTACACTTACATCAAAGGGCTCTGAGTACCTATAAGAGGGGTCCTTTTATTTTTTTGTAAGGTTCCAGCTATGCAGACAGAATACAGATACATATTCCGTTTTAAAAATATCTCCTTTAAGACAGAGAACTACTTAGCAGCATCTTTTTTCTGTATTTTTTTTTTCTTCATTGATTTAAAACTGGCATCAGACCATGTGTGATTACGGCAAACAACAACTTCGTACCAAAAGTAGGATGTTTTATTCACGTCAAGAACTCTTTTGAAAGGAAGAAAGAAATAAAAGCATTTGGAATGTTGAGTCATTTCATAGAGAAACACCATGCTTTCAGGAGAAATATTCGGTGAATTCTGATTTTCAACTATGCTAAGTTTTTTTAAAGGCCCCAAGGATGCAAAGCTAATTTAATTGGCTCGGCAACAAAAACAAAAGGAAAGGAAATTGTCCTAAATAAGGCATATCAGATACTCTTGGTAGAGATAAACTGGGTAAACGTAGACAGGCTTCCCAAAAGAAGGAACTGATCTGCTGTATTCCTAGTAGAAGCATAAAAATCACTTCCTAAAACTTTCTCTTACTCTTTCTTTACAAGGAGGAATTATTTATTCATGGTAGACAAAACCATACTAAAACTAAACAAATTTAAAATACAAATTTTTGGTAGCAAACAGCATGAAAATCTAAATCAAAATATAGTCTAGTTTTTACATAATTTTATATATTTATAAATTTATCAAAATAGTCTTTTAAAGTTCACAATACATACATAATGTTAACACTGTACATGTAAATGTAATAATAAATGTAGTACTGAAATACATTAAAAATAACCTTTCAAAATACCAAATTCAACATTAAAACTGCCTTAAAAAGTGTTGAAATCTCCATAAACATAGTTTCAGTGCATTTATAGTAGTCATTAACCAGTTTTTTGGTTTCAAGTCTCTTGGAGGTGTTATCTTAGTGCTCTCCTTAATTTAAGGTAAGAAGGCAGAGATATTCTTCCAGCAGGAAGTTGTTTCCCTCTACATTGCTCGTCCGGATGAAGAAATTGTGTCTAAGAGTGGAACAGCGTTCACCGGAGTGGCAAGGCCTTAGTAGTGAACATATTCAGACTGAAGGGACTGTGCAGGGAAAGAGATAAACTGAGGTTAAATTCCATCACATGTAAAACTTCTAGTAAGTCATTCAGCTTCCTCCTTCAACACAAGAGCGTTTAGCTCTATTATATAAAAGAGACATAAACTAAGAAACAATAGAAACAAAAAGATGGGGGAAACAAAACATGTGCTAAATAAGGATAAGATATTCAATTAGGTAAAGTGATTACAAGAAAACTTTACATTTTAAAATATTAATAGTGATTAAAAATTAAGCATTAATTCAAAATTGAGAGGTAGCCTAAACTCATTTCTAAGCTTTTATGCAATAATATTGAGTTTTACCCAAAAATATTAAATGATAATTGTAACTAATTAAAGATTATTAGTATATACTTTGAGAAGATACATACTTATTAAATTTAACTCAGTATGTACCGATGGCATGTTAATGCTTCTAACGAAGTAGAATTAGCAGTCATTTAAATAAATTCCTTTATAATGCTTGAATTTAATAAACACCTTACAAATCCTTTCCATTAAGGGGAAACAAAGAACTACCAGCTTAAGACACAAAACCATTTAAGGGAAGAGTCTTGCAATCAAAACTCAATAAACAGTAGGCAACTTTCAAGTAAGCAATATAAGTTCCTCCCACTTATACTAGTGGTTAGTATCTAATATCTAATCCCATATTAGATACTAACATATAAAAGGAGCATGATTAGGATATGTAATCAGAATGCATGGATAACAGACATAAACCAGAAAAGATAAAGAGAGCTTGAGAAAGTTTGCCAAACATATTTTTTAAGCAGCAAATGATGGTTAGAAAAGAAGGAACATAAATAAAGAAGGAACATAAATCAATCTAAACATTAACAATATTTTTTTTGCACAATTCTTCTAAAAAATACTTAGAACAACGAAGTTTACTTGATTTTCTACCAAATGCCCTTTTCTCTCTCCCAATAATTATTTCTCAAATTTATCTGCAGTATTTTATTAACAGGTCTAATCAATTCTAACACTGGTCAATTTTGATGATCTAGGTATATTAAAAAAGGATCTGTCCATTTTCCAAAGAGCTTACAAAAGGATTCAAACTATCTCTACTGAGCTTCAAAACCCCAGTGAATTTTAAATTCTAACAACAGCCATTTACTAAGTACCTATTAACACAGTGAGTCAAAAAGCTGTGATCCCTGACCTCAAAGTGCAAAAGGCCACACTGTCGTAACACATGTGAAATGAAAAGACAGGTGTCAACATTAAATAGCAATATATGTTATTAACAGCATGCACCAGCAGAGGATTAGGCGGGGGAGTGGTAAGGGAAAGGGGTGGTGCTCTGGGCTTCAAGTTTTAAGAAAGAGGTTAAATGTCAAGATCTACTGGGAGGAATGGAAAAGGTCTGGCAAGCTGACTTTCTCAATACCAGATGTGGTTTATGCTAAGGCTTCAAAACAGGAGTGAGATGATTAAGAATAAGGCACTATACTATAAATATACCTGAACTTATAGGAGGAATAAAAGCTGTAAGATGCTGAGAAAGTCCAGTGAAACTGGTTCAATACCTTGAAGCCCATGTACATTTAACTCGTGGGATACCAATTACTACACTAGCAATTATAGCATAAAAACAGACTGTCATTTTTCAGCTTTTTTCCCAGTTTCTTCTAGAGTCTGGCAAGTAGTCAGAGGACAGCCAGGGAAGTCCCCCCAGCTGCAAGAATGCCACGCAGGCATGTTATCCATCAGCCAGAGCTTTCTTGGGAATATTTAACTTTTACTTGTGTTCCAATTAGAACAGTTGTTTGTGTTATCACTAACAGAAATTAGAAAACTCCTTAAGCTGTTTACACATTTAGAACAAAGTTGTTTTTGCAAGCACCTCTGAAGCTCTATCAATTCTCAATAAATGGAGATACAGCAAATAGATACTCTACAGACAAGTGACCATTATTAAACTTTCTTCTAGAGTATTTATGTGTACTTCAATGTATAGGGGATAAATATGTGTGCGTGCATATATACATTTATTCATTTTATGAATCATGGTACCCACTAAACTGGAAAACAGAAATAGTCTCGAACACTTTAAGGATTTCTATTATTCACGTGAAGTATATATTCCTGAGTCTTCTGGCCGAAGTCTTTGCTTTCACGTAGCACAGCCCACAAACTCTGGCTAGTGTTTAATCCAACCTCAGACACAGTTCACCACAAGCCCTATTGCTTCCTTTTCCACCCACCTGGTCTGCTCTCTCATGTTGCCTAACCTGCCCTGTGGGCTTCTACAAACAAGTGAAGACATAATTTGACCAAAAATAATGGACCTTCTGTCATGCTATTGCCTTCATTCAACAATTACTAAACGTCAATTGTATATATTAGGCACTGGGAGATAAAAATACAATACCAAAGTTCCCAAAACAAAACACATTCCATGGTTGCCTTATATGGTATAAAGAGTGTTAAAAGGATATAAAAGATCAGTAAAAAGAGTTTAGCAAATTATTCTGACATCAGTATTTTGTAACAAATTTAACTTCTTTTCATTTTCAATCTAAAATAAAAATCTTAATGGACTAAAGGAAGAAGAGAATTGTTCAAGTCTACAAGACCTACTTACTGTAAAAAATCATAACTAACACTTCAAGGCCTTTTCACTGGGGAGCAGCAGTGTGAGATGACAGGAATATTTACACTTCAAGCACCACATTCTTACACGATGGGGCTGTATTGATGGTCTCTCTGCGTCATTTGTACATGGCCACAGTTGAGGAAACCTCTGGGGAAAATGCCAGTATTCCCCATTTGAAGTCTTAGCACTGAGGATGGATAGGTAGATAGATACATAAAGCTGCTTTAATTCCTAGTGTGACCTAATACACATTATAACAAAGCTTCTTCATGCTTTGAAATTTCATGCTTCTTTCACAGTAACAGGTAGGACTACCAACTATATAAAATGTCTTCCAAATGTCCATGCATTGTAAAATTACTAATATTCCAGAAAAGACAAGAGCCACTTATTGGCATTTTAATTTTTTATAGGAAAAATGTAAATGTATTTTATATTCCATAAGAATATCATTATTGCTATTGATTATATCATTCAAGAAATAGATTCATGGAAGTATAATTATCTGGAGCTCTTAATGCATTAGATATATTACTTGGCAGGTCAATTCTGAGATAGTTATTTACTGAGTACTTTCTATATACCAGGCACAGTTCTAAACATCTTATACGTATTCACTTATTAAATGTTCCAGACAACTCATTTTACAGGCAAAATGGAATTTCAGGGAAATTGAGGCACAAAACAGTGAGGCAATTTACCCAAGATCATGCAATTAGGAAGTGCAGAAGCTAGAATTTGAACCCCAGCAGCCTGTCTCAAAAGCCCAAACCCTTAGCCAACATAGTCCTCGACAACTTCTAGCATTTATCCTGTGACCACTACATATTCAATCTAACATTCTCTACCACCCTGATACAGACACAAATAATGATCTTAGGCAGGGTATGATCCTGAGCGAATGAAGAAATATTAAACTACTTTTTTAAATATAATATTTATTACATTAAAAGATAAATATATCTTTAAATAATTTTCATCAGGTCTGAATCCAAAAGAATTTTCAGGAATATTCTAAATTTAAAAGAAATTTTCTTTATAAGAACATCCATGCTTAAGTATTATTTTTTTTTCAAATCAAAAGTTTAGTTTATTATATCTCAAACAAGAAGCAGTACAATTAATCAAAGTATCATACTTAAGTATTCTAAGTAAATGCTTTGCTTGGCCAATGTTTTTTGTTGTTACCATAATGAATTAAAATATCTGAAATCCAAGCAACAAAAAAAATTAACAATGGCAATGGAGATGGTTATGAAGAAATTGAGACCTGAGGTGTAAATATTATTTTATAAGTTAGCACTTGTTTATATAACCAAGAGATTTTAATTTCTCAAATATAATATCCAAGTTCATTTGGTCAGTAAGTTCAACAGTGTTATATTGAGTTAGGACCAGATCAAGTTTATTATAAATCTATAGTATTATTATGGTATGAATACCCTAAACTAATAATACAGCAATATGCAACCTGAAAAATAAAGATAAAATTGCCTTACACTTGCAGCCCCCAAAATTTTTATGTCAAAATATAAGCTTCCATCAAGAAGTCTTGTTCTCTGAAAGCAGTAAGATTTGACATAAAACAGCGTGTTAGGTAAGGAGATCAAGACAATTTGTTCTGTTCTAGAAATCTGCTACTAATCTGTTTTGGCAGATGTAGGTAGTAACTTTAAAAATTTACCTATTCTGGAGGTGTTTCTTTTTTAAACAGCCCAGTTATCTAATCATGGTAGAAAAGTGTCTAATAATTATAGATATAAATATTATACAGATGATTAATAAAACTATAAATTGGTTATCAAAAACAGAACACTGTAAAGGATAACTAAAGATTAAGGTCATTGCCAGGAAATGAACGAAACAACGTCTTAATGATCTTAAACCGAAGGACCCAATAGCCTGGGATCCTACTAGGTCAAAGTCCTGACCCAAAATCTCCATGGACTGTTGCAACACTGACTTTTTCTTTCCTGCATTTCTTCAATTTTCCAAGTCCCTTAAGGAAGAAAAAATATAGTCTACTAGTTATCCCTAGTTTGAGTTCTAACTGCAGAGGCAAAAAGCACCTAAAATAAATGGTTTATTTTAATGTGATAGATAAAGGAAAAAACACATGTTTGGCAACAGGGTATTTCTAATATTTTAAGTTTTAGTGAACAAATACAACACTGGGGAAAAGTAACTGCCTCTATACTCCTGTGCCTCTTTATGTCTTTGTAAATAGAGTTCCCAATTTTTGTATTGTTTATAAATTAACGTGCAAAATGCATGCATTGATACATATTTCCACAAATGTGGTTTCCAAATGTTGAAAAGTATTTGCCTCTGCTTATATAATACATACTTCTCCAATAACACTAGATGAAACAGAGCT